CACAATTATATTAAAATAGTAATTGTATTACTCTTTCTACTAATAATTCAACTACAATTATACTCTTTATACTTTTGTATAACATTTTTTCTAATTTAAATAAATTGAATGTATAGTAAATATGTGAAAAAAAAAAAGTTGGTAATTTTTAAAAAAGAAGACCATATAAGATATGCTTAATGGAAAAAAAAATTGAAACTATTAGTATTGAGACAATCATTAATGAAATTCATGAGATGAGAGAGCGTCTTAATGTAAATTTGTTAATTTGTAAATTTGTTAATGTCAAGGTTTGAAACTTTATAATTTATATTGCACCACTATTATGTATAATTTTATAATACAACTTTCTATTTTTTATGTACATAGATTATATTTGATTATTGAAAAATATATAGTTTCCCCCACCCCCCAAAAAAAATTTTTGGATCCGCCCCTGGCCACATCCGCCTGTCCCGACGTCATCTCTGCCTTCCCACAGCCACATTCGCCGTCTCTGCCTTACCCGCAGCCACATGCGCCGGAAATCTATTAACAGACACAAAAAGATCTGATTTGGGGAAGAAAGATTGGATTCTGAAATTAGGGGGCCATTTTTTTAAAAATTAGACATTTTGAAGGGGCCAATTTGAAAATTAAGAAATTACAACTATATTACAATTTAATTCATAGGTTAAATATGTATATTAATAAAAGTCAATAGATGCTTTTTATATATCAGTTTTGAATTTTTTTATTCTATTATTTGTTTTTAATTTAATGTTCAGTCCGAACTATAGTTTTCGGTCAGAATTTTTAAATATGGTTCGATTATTTATTTTTACCTTTACAATTCCAATTATCTCGGCTCGATGCGGCTTTATTTTTAAAATAACTGATCCGACTGAATAATAAAAAAGTATAATTTTTTATATTTTTTTATACATATATATTACATATTTTCATTAAAAAATAATACAAAAATTTTAAAAAAGAATATTAAAATACTGCATATATTTTTTATAAATATTTTAATAAATTAGTTCAATTATTATCGTCAATTCGGTTAACCAACTGGATAAACATACTATTTTGTTCGATTTTTATTTGGATTGCACATGAGAATAAAAAAACGAATGTACAATAAACAAGACGTATATTAGTGACTATAGTATTGCACATTAATGTTCGACCGATTGCACATTAGTTCGTTTGTTAATGCACATTAGCACACAAGTGTGTGTTTTCAATTATATTAGAATTTTTATACTTTAGTTCGTTTCGACTTTATTTTAAGAATAAATTAATTAATTAAAATAAAAAGGAAATGAAATAACAAAATTGACCGAATTATATAATTTGTTTGTTTTTTTTTTATATTTCATCTATATATATTATTTTTTTTAACAATAATATAAAATATTAAACAAAAATATATAAAAACTAAATATATTTTTGTTGTGTATATAAATTGATAATGCACAATAAAAAATCTCCGCTCAATAAACTGCACAAGAATGTTAGACTAATTGCACATTAGTGTCTACGACAATGCATATTACCGTCTACGGTATTTCTATTCTATATTTGTTCGACTAATAAAAATTATTACATAAAATTATTAAAATAATAAATATAATTTTATATACTTTATAAATTATTTCGATGACTTATGGTAATTCGGTTAACCAAGTGAATAAACCATGTAATTCGGTTCAACTTTAGTTTGGTTTAAAACAAAACATTAACAATGTATGCGTTGCACAATAATAATAGACAAATTGCACATTAATGACTATGAGATTGCACAATATATAACGAAACAATTGGAACAACCAAACTACGTGAAAAAATATTATTATTTTTTTATATATTTTTATGTACTACGAGTGTCCATAAGGATTATACGAATTAATTTTTAGTTAACTCTAATAACTTTCCGAATAAATTAGTTAGTTATAATCAATGTTCGATTCATTCTTTTTTTTTTTTCCGAAAGTTCGATTCAGTCATTTTATTTTTGATTTCGTGAACTTTTAAACACGTAGGCAGTGAATATTTTGATTTTGTAACTATGAACTAAAGATTTGAATGAACTTTTTTTGTAATATCAGTAGTTTATTTACTGTTTATCAATGGTTTCTTTTTATTTATTTTAGAAGTGCTTATGTGAGCTACGTGCTTTTTGTTTGGTGAAATTGGATGTTGATGGGATTGAAGAAAGCATTTAGATGTTGATTGATTATTGAGTTTGATTATTAATAGTTTATTTTAGACTTAAAAATAATTTTCCTAATCTATTTTATTAATAATAGTTTATTTGAGAAATATAAGTATTTTTTTATTATAAAACATTGTTTTTCTACTCTTACTATATTTTTATGAATTTTTCTTTATATTGACAAAATTTATGGAAGAGAGGGATTGAGTTTAAGAAAAGAAATGAGGAGAAACAAGGGACTAAAGAAAGTATTTATAGAATAAGAGAGGCTTAAGGAAAAAATTGGGAGAGACAATATGTGAGAGAGGATATTTATTGAAGAACCAGATTACAAATTCAAGGAAATTAAAAGAATATTATTTTGGAATAAAAAGATGAATTATTGATAGTTGTGAGATTTGTTTAAATGTATAATATTTTAGAATTATTTTAAGAAGGGGACATATGTGTATTTTAGCCATTAACATAAGCTTTTAGGCCAATTTACACGCTTCCTGAGTGAATATGAAAATATTACACATATACGATCAAGTAAAAAAGATTAGCGTTAACACGATATTAGATGAAATAATTAGTTGAATGCAGTTTAACCCAAAAAAGGGATGCAATATCCATTTTTTTAACTTTACTTGTGACAAAAAAACAACAATTTTTGAAAGTTAATAACTTTTTTGTTTGTTATCAATTTTTATGTATAATTTATCGAATTAATCATTTTTCGACGAGGTTTAATTTGATATCTATATTGATATATAAAATAAAAAATATTTTTATTTTTTATTATATATTAAATTATCTATTAATATTAATTAAAACTTAATAAAAATTAATAAAATTATCTATATCGGGGTTGCATATTCGANATGTGAACTCATCTATATATATATATATACACTTATATGTTATATAAATTATTACATATTATAAACCAAGTATAAACCGAATTATTACAGGTTATGTAAAAGAACGCAATCTATACTTATATAATAAGGGGTACCATTTACAAAATTTAGTAAGTTGAAAAGTCAATGCAATAAATGCATTACTATTTTGAGCAATATAATATAATATCATATCTATACTTATATAAAAGAATATTCTATTTACTACATTTACTATCCAGAAAAGTCAACTGCATTAAATGTCATTACTATTTTGGTATTATAATATTTTATTTATTTAATTGATTTATTATTTGTTTTATTTTAAAAAGGTAAGTATAATAAAAAGATTTTAATAATAAAAAATCAAATACCAAATAAAAATGTACACTTTGACTTATTTGATTATATTTGGTATTTGATTATACCAAATATATTCCTATTTAGTATATACATTAAATACTTACTAAAGTATTTATTTGTTTTATTTGTCAAAGTTAAGTATAGATTTGTTTATATTATCAAATCATAAAAAAATATTAAATCCATATTGTAAAAAAAAATAAAAAAATCATATAATTTTATAACAATTCTACTACACTATTTAACAATATTTCTTTTTTATTATATAATAAAATAATAATTAAATATTATATGGTGAACAACAATAAGTAAAACTGTTACTTTCTCTTATATCAAGGGATAAATTTATATGCTAAAATTAAATTTTTATTAGTATAAATGTTTTAGTGAGATAATATATTAATTATTTTACAAGCTAGCCCTAACATGCTCATATTTAATGTTTTAAAAGATGTAGAAAAAAACTTATAATAACTCTATTGTTTTTTAGACTTAAGCGTTGATTAAAAGAGGTAAAAATTCCTAATTTTTTAGACTTAAACGTTCATTAACGCCATAGATTGAGAGTCTTTATTTAGTAAAATTCCTAATTGTAATAAAAAAATTAATTTTTGCTAGGTTTAGAATATCTTTAAATTCATCATAAAAAGAAAAAAAAACTACAATGAAAAAAGCAAGTCAGCTATATATCGATTTGTTGTGCTCCTCAAATCACATTCACAATTTGGCTACAAGGAAAGGAAAATTATTGATTAAAATATTATTTTGTTAGTAGTCTTAATGTACAAGAGACTTTAAGACTTCACTTGAATATTATAAAACTTTTATTGAACATTGTACAATTTTCTTGCGTATTATAAACTTTTATTGAATATTGAATCTTATAATATAATATTCTCCAAATAAATATATCCTGTGCTTCGCACGGGTCACGTACTATATATATCCCGTACATTTTTCTTTATTCATGTATATAATTATAAACCTGGATAAATAGTCTTAAAATTGTGCACCCCGTGCATCGCACGGGCTCTGTACTAGTATATACTAAATATATACTAACTATAACCACAACATATACTAAAAAATATGTAAAAAAAACGCAATATATATTAAACATATACTTACTATAACTACAACATATACTAAAAAATATTTCGGTGTCCATCTTGTACAAAAAAATGCAATATATATACTAAAAATATACAAACTATAACCACAACATATATTGAAAAATATTTCGTTATCCGTCTTCACAAGATTTGACGCACGCGTTAAGTTTTGCACAACATATACTTAAATGCTCGTATTCGTTTTTTTTTTTTTTTTTGTTTTTTTTTTTTTTTGGCCNATCAATATGAAGGCAACTAAAAACATTGCTTTTTGTCAAGAAGTTTACAAAATCTGGGACACAAAATAAAAAAGTTCAATTTCAACAAAATGTATTTTCTTCCATCATCAAACGTGTACCAGATTGAAAAGCAAGCGCTATTAGATTTATAGTCTATTTTGAATTGTGAGATTTATTGCCCAATTCCAGACTGCAAAACTAGCGGTCATCCTTTGTGTGGGGTCTTTTGCCTTTGCCCTTTTCCATAAACGACGTAAAAAAACCAACGATAACGATCGTGTTCGGCGGAAAAATCCCCCGAAACCAGTCTCCATCTGAAAATGTGGGAGGTGGCTTGAGTCGTTTTCTGACTAGAGAGAAAGAGATAGAAGAAACATGTGGTGAGAAGTTGTAAAAGATCCCACATCCCCATAATATCTGCCGTTATCTCGTAAAACCAATAGTTACCTTTAAAAAAAATGAAAAAGGAAAATTAAAAATTGGATAAATCGCGTCGGGATGCAATTAATATGTACAGTTGTCTCAAAATTGCTAATAAAAAATTATGCTCGTATATCTCGGCCTAGGAGTAAATTTCTCCAGCGTTTAACAGTTAAGCCCACGATATTGATGCCACTAGCTAGTAGGCCCAAATCGATATCTATTTGTAGTTTCACAGAATGGCCCATTTATCTATCATCTATATATATATATAATAAGAATTACTATTTACCAAAAATGGCAAGTCAAATCTATAGTCAAAGTCTCTTATCATTAATGACTTGCCATTAATGGCAATTAATGTTTTTTTTTTAAACACAACATTAAATGCAGTCTATACCATGTGGAGTTTGTGCATTAGATGACCAAAAAACACGAGATTGTTTCATTAGTTTGTTAAAAAAATCCATACCAATACATTAATTTGTTACATAAAATCCCGTTGGCCCTTAAATATTTTCAAAAAAAGTTGATACATTAATTTTTTATTTTTCTCAGATTCTAAAACTTGTAGAAAGATAAATTCGGAATAGAATTTAAATATTTGACAGTTTTTATTTTTTAATAAAAAAAAAATCGACTGACTAAATAAAAATAGAATTTTTTTTCTTAACAGAAAAATGGCTAATATAATTGTTATGATTGGTGAACAAAGAATAAGTAAAACTGTTATTTTCTCTTATATCAAGGAATAAATATATATACTAAAATCAAATTTATATTAGTATAAATGTGTTAGTGAGATAATATATTAATTATATTACGAGTTAGCTCCAACATGCTCATATTTAATGTTATGACTAAAAAAACAATATTGATTAAAAAAAAGTAACAAAGATATTATAACCCTATTGTATTTTAGACTTAACGTTGATTAAAAGAGGTAGAAAATAGATGTTAACCCTATTACATTTTAGTCTTAAAAGGACAGAGCCTGTGAAAACAACTCATTTAATATTTCTATTTCGTGCATCGCACGGGGTCCGTACTAGTTAACAATAATGACAATAATGGCCAATTTTAAAAAATGATTCACTTTGTTAGCCATTTTTTAAAAAAAGATCCATCATATAAGGCATCATCAAGAATAGTCCTATTGTACTAATTTTGATTAAAGTGTCAACTTAGTGGACCATTTTTTATGACACCCGATTTTTTTAAAAAATTGACTGGTAATAAAAAGAAAATCTAGCCTAATATACAAAGGGCATAGAATAACATGTCAAATTGGGCTTTGAGAAAAATTAACAATTTTACAAGTTCTAAAAGTAATACTACTACTAAAAGCCACATTTTTTTTCTTTTTAATATAAAGTTGAAAGGAAAAATAAACTAGTGGGATGCATTTAAATCACACAAATATATCTTTAATCAAGTAATAGTCACATCAGCAAACTACAATAAACAATGATCAGTACCTAAATTGATTACATGCATATAGACTATAGTGTACTATAAAAATTTATCTGTAATAAATCTCTCACTTGATATCAGTAGGCCCCAAATTTCCCCATCATAGAAAATAATTCCAATAGATGTTGCATAGTCACTCTGCAAAATCCCAAAAGGAATAGAAATTAAGTACATGTCAGCACAGTATATAAATTGTATATAAGCAATTAATTAATTTATTCTTACTTCATCTTTTAAAATCACAAATACCTGCCAGAGATTTCTTATTTTTCCTTCACCATATGTTATGAAATGTCATACTTCTATTTATTTAGTTTTTTGATTATGGCATTTCATTTTGAAAGTATGTTTATCTATTAAAATAATCTATTTGTCTAATCGTTAGACATATCTAACAACATTCTACCCTTTTTTTTTTAA